AGGAACGGAACCCAGGCGTCCTGGTGCCCCCCTCCCTCCCCCGCGCCGGGCAGGGAACCCAGGCATCCTGGTGCCCCCCTCCCTCCCCCGCGCCGGGCATGGAACCCAGGCGTCCTGACCCCGCTCTTCCCCAGGCCGACCCCCTGGACCCCTTCGACCGGGAGCGGCTCTTCGACCTGCTCTTCCGCTCCCAGAGCCGGCGGCTGAACGAGCAGCGCTGCATCCTGCCCGGCCTGCGGGGGGCGCCCCGCCACGACCCCGCCCGGCCCTGGCGTTCGCTGCCCGGGACCCCCACCGAGGGCCTGCTGGGGGGAGCAGGTAAGAGACGCGGCCCCGCGCCGGCCTGTCCTGTGCCCCGACATCTCCCCGACTCCTGACCCCTCCTCCGACTCCCTGCCCCCCAACCCCTCGCCTGGCCCCAGCCCTTGCCCCCAAACCTTCTCCTCTGCCCCTGAATCCCTCGCCCTTTCCCCCAACCCCTCTCCTCTGCCCCAGCCCCCTCTTCTCTGTCCCCCTGACCCAACCCCTCCTTCAATCCCTCTGCCTGCCCCATGGCCCCCATCCCCTTCCCCCCTCCCCCTGTGCCCCCTCAGCTCCCCCCATCCAGCCGCCCCATTCCCAGCCTCCTTCCTCTTACCCCCACCACCTCCATCCCTCTGCCAGCCATGGGGGGGGTGCAGTCTGGCAGGGGGGTGCAGCCATGGGGTGCAGTGGGGGGTGAAGTGGGGTGCAGCTGGGGGGGAGATGTAGCAGGGGTAGAGCTGGGGGGGCACCGTCCAGCCCTGTCTAACCCCCCCGGCCCCCCAGGGAAGTTCTGCTCGCTCACCTCGCTGCAAGCCGAGCAGTTCTTCGAGCTGGTGGCCACGGCCCAGGCCCGGCGGCTGGACGACCAGCGGGCTGACTTCGCGGGGGACCCCGGGGCCGAGGAGGGGGCTGAAGAGGGGGCCAAGGGGCCTCCGGAGCCCCCTGACCAGGGGGAGGAGTTGTACAGCACCATCCTCACCCACCAGGTAAGAGGTGGCCCCCCAGGACCCCCACCCCCGATTCCTGCCTGACCCCCCAGTCCCCGAGACCCCCACTCCATAACCCCTCCCTCCAGACCCCCCGAGACCACAGAATATCAGGGTTGGAAGGGACCTCAGGAGGTATCTAGTCCAACCCCCTGCT